TGCAGAGGTGAGGCTCCGCTGCTAGTTGATCGCTGCGCGGATTAAGGCTTACGAAAAATGGGACCGCAGAATGGAGCGGTGCGAAAACTGGGAAAAACGACTGGCAAACCACGTCTGGGTTGCCTTTGTGCGCTATTACAAGAGAAGAACCGAATCGCCAGATACCTAAGCCAGGCCTCTATCGGACCGCCTCTGACCGGCGAGTTGTTCAGGGAGCGGCGGATTACGCGTTGCTTGCCGCTGGATGTCGTTTCGAGTAATGAGTTCGCACACGTGATTAAAAAGAACAGGATTAGTAAAGGGAGGCGATATAGGTATAGGCGAGAATGGAGTGCAGCGAATAAAACAGTTATGTTCTATTTAATCCAAACAGAATACACTAAAGCTAATCAGGACTAGGAGAACGCTAAAACACTTTAAGTAGTGAGAAGTTTTTCGTCTGCAAAGGTGTCAAAACAAGGACAGCAGGGAAGATTATCTGCTGCTGTCGCTACTGCCGCATAAAATATTTGAGCCAATGTGCATTGGTAGATCTATTTACCTTTTTCCTGTATTGGTAAGTTTAATTACGACAAGGCGAGATGACGTTAACGACGACAACGAATTAGGCCAGTCGACTTGGTTGGTTACCCAGGACTGCCTCGTATTCCGTATCCTTGAAGGACTTACGGAAATTAGAAGCAGATAAGTCCGGCCGACAACGTAAGCTCAAGAAGTATAATGCGGTAGCGAGGAACCAAATAAGCGCAGGCAACCAAATCAAACGGAGACCTGCGAGGACACGGAATAGAAGTTGGAGATGGACAGCAACTTTTGTCAGGTCGGTCAAGAAACAGAAAAGCTCTATAGAAAGTCTTACGTAAATCCTAGTGCTAGCAATGTCTAAGTATTAGAAATGGGAAAGTGAGCTAAACGTCAGGAAAAGACAGACAGAGCGAACACCGCAAGATGGCGTAACCCCAGAAACCTCTTTGCCATCTCTTTTGTTTGGTCTAATAACGAGGAGGTTTCCTTAACGAAATGAGCAAGCAAAAATAGCAAATAGTTACGTAGTTCACTTGCTTAATTCGAGATACATCTATTCTGTGATAACAAAAGACATGATGGAAGCACCAGCAGCTCTTACTCTGGAACTCTGATCTATCTTTAATCCATGATTTTATTGAGGTTAGATCGTTCAAATGATTTCGTCTTTTCCTTTCCCAAATAAAGCAATTGATAAAAAAACGTTTGCCCCATAAAAGTGCTCCTTCATAATTATGCTTCCATTATGTGCAAGTCAAGCTCGGAGAATTGTGTAACATAAAAAATTACTGAACAAAAGTGCAAAATGATATGCTCTTGTTTCGAAACAGATATCGCTTATACAGACGAAACGAACAGTAAAAAACCTTTCCGTTGACATAATGCCTATGCGAAATCATATTGTTCCTCGAAAATGCATTGTTTACTACTGTTTTTCGTTATTAATTATAATATTAATTGTTTGTTAACTGTGTGAAAAAAAAATGGCTCAATTATTTTTTTTTTTTTATGGCGTTTATAATTAGAATTGTAGTCATAGCCTGATGATCGCCATTAGATAGATCGTAACAATATGAAAAGGTTTTGTTAGCGTACATAGTGGGTATATTCAAGAGTCAGCAATATTTAGAATTGGAAATTTTCACATTATGAATAGTTGAGTAAAGCAAAAAAAAAAAAAAAAAAAGTAATGTCAGCTACCCGCTATTGACAGCTCTCTATTTCTGTGGCCGACCCAGTTGCTTTCAATAGCATTACTACGTATTTGATCCTTCCTAGAAATTAGTCACATTGTTTTTTTGCTATCGTGGTTGAATAATAAGTATGAACACGTACGCCAGACGCCGATCGAAATTCTGGCGAAAACAGGTCGAGGGACAGCGGTCTCAAACGTAAAAATCAAAACAAGAGTACTCTATTATGATTATGTGACAACATAAGTTATATTAGCTCGGAGTCGTTAAGGGGGCAAGATAAATTGCTCAATTTACAAAACTCGAGTAGTAAGAAATCGAGTAACTTTCACTATTGTGCTTATTGAAATAACATGTTTACGGTAAACCTAAAACGAAACGAACTACAATCAATGTTCAGTTACTGTAAATGAAAGATGTTTTTTTTTTTTTTTTTTTGATTAAAAAACAAGAGTGTCTCTTAGCTCGGTCTCATTGCACTCGCCAGTCGCGCGTCCTTTATTCAAGCTCATGTTAAACGTATACACGTCCAGACATCCGTTGTTGTCCGAAACAGCCCTAGTCGCGTCTACGTTAACGCTCGCCACGATCCAAACATACGTAAAGGTAACGATCACATGGGGAATGTCGCTGCTGTACCGTCATTAACAATGGCGCTCGTAGCGCTTTACGGACGAACTCTGCGCGCGGCAAAATACGACTGTATTATGATTGGAATAGCAACAGCAAGTCATTAAGCAAACGTTACCCTTCTGCGGAACCGGCAGTATCTCTCACGTGGACGTGTCGCTCAACACGATGCCAGTCTAGGCGGCGGTACACCTCTAAAAGTCGCCAATTTTCTGGAAGGGAGTAATAACAGATCTACCGCTCCAAATTTTGACTCGTCGCCGTACTTTTTTATCATGATTTTCATCAAGGTCTACTGTGTGCGCACGTTTCGTCCTACCTGATCTTTCCCTATTCTTTTGCTATTTTTGACGCCATAGTTAGCTTCATTAATATGATATTGTTCAATCGTACTGTTGCATTATGACTTCAGCTTTGTTATGGGACAAAAGTAATCGTCGGTGTGGCCTTCGCACAGGCTCGTTCCAGCATTAAAACGGTCAATAAATATATCTGTTCGGTTTGACTGCGGCTGCATTTTTCGTATCATCGATAACGTGTGCTTTTATTAATCTACGATCATATGATTTGAGTGGTGATACGAATAGTTGCGCTAAATCGACGTTAGCTTTGAGCTGTCACAGGTAAAATGACATCGAAAAGAAATTAACAGGGCTACTGTACGAAGACGAAACTACCGTCCGGTAACAACGCGAGACACCCCTTTTCGCCCCCCCTTAGCAGGTGACCGGTCAGGCAGAGACAACTGTGGCAACAAGCAACAGAAAAAGACTGAACAAGTGCCAACGCGACCGCTGGCAAACAAATGCCGCCAAGAAACACCACCCGTGGGTGATTTTAGTCGGTATATGGACGGACCTAGCTGGTGGAGCTGATGTCACAGGCTCTACGCACGTCAGTCTTGAAAATGGTCAGGCCAATGCGGAGTGGAAGCGTCGGACAGTGAAAGCGATGGTGTTTTTTCACGAAGAGTTTTGCATATCGCTAATGTTAGTTGGCACCTGAACGCTTGCGATATAGCCATCGAGTGAAGAGTCACATGAGAGGATCTACAAGGAAGACCTCGTTACGAACGAAGATCGCATCAATTTGATAAAAGCTTCGAAAACTGCCAGTCGATTATCTGATCATAAAATGGTGACGATGTTTGTATGTATCAAGCTCTTTTACATTGTGCATGGAAGGAACGGTAGTAGACTTAAATAGATATGTACAATGAGCCGATGGGCGGGTCTGTCGATCGTATTGTGGGCGCGTATCTCTGACACCTTTACTCCTTTACTTGAATTGCACTAGATAGCAACTGAAGGCTACAACAAGCGGCAGACAGAAAACTGGTAAAAACCGCCCACTGTCGATTTGTGCTTTTTGTGGTTATACTATGGTCCCCGTCGACTATCGGTTCGTCAAGACATATAAAACCTATAGTGCCTGGGTTTCTTCCCTCAAGAGACGTCCACAAATCGTATGCAGGTATGCTTATCATGCGGCCTTCACAATCAGTGGTCTGACTAACGATATTGTTCATTCAAATTTTACTGCATATACACAAATCAAAGGAATGCATGCATAGCTTAGAAACTATAAAAGGGCTGAAGTACCAAAATAAAAAACATGTATATATCTGTACCATATTGCCCTCCCACACCAAGCAGTGGGTTCCAGTAATATTAATCGCGTCACTACAGTGCCGCTGCTATCAGCATATCACCATCGTATATCTGTGCAGTGTAGTACAGCGTTTATACCTAACGTTTTTCATGCATAAACGACAAGGGGCAAATGTTGAAGAGAACGTTTTCCGCTTTGGGAACACATCTAGATGGTAGACCAGACATCCTCCTACTTAGTTAGATCGTTAGAGCAGATTTTGCACGGTGATAGCTGTTGGCCTTCAGTTAAGATTAACGGTGAATCTACTGCAATACGAGTTATCTATCTATTATCAATCATTATGTGCTGTTTTCTCTAACGCATATCGAGATATATTCGTTCTGTGGCCCTAATGGCACGCCTGATTTCTATGTGGATGTAAAAAAGATCTAAACATTTTTAACTGTATCTAATAATTGTACGGATCTTATAGTAATACAGGATATGGAAATGTTTTGTACAATGTGACACGTAAGTTTTTTTTTTTTTATAAAAACTTAAGCAACACAGCAGCTTCATGGATAAACCAAAATTTTGCATTGGATTACGTATCGTATCCGACTGACTGTTGTTTGGTGCCATAAGCGACTGTGATCGACCTCTATCGATGTCTAGATTGCCTTAGATTTAATGACTGTGATAACACAGCATTTTTTAGAGACAAACCTAAGTGCTGCTAAGCAACACTCTCAGTACGCTGGGGGGGCTGCCGCAAAAGGTAGAAATAGAACGTTTTGCCATACTGGGCCATACATCAGTACCTACCTAGTGAAGCCGTGATTTCTAATTGCTATCTCTAGTAATCTTCTTATGTTCGTCTTGCAGTTAATGATTGAGCCGCGGATCATGCCTCGGCTTGCCAGTGCAGCTAGTATCAGCCGAAAGAACAACAGTGAAATGCAACTGAAAATATTTCAAGTCCGGTATTCAAGCTGTTGGAGATTACTCTAGAAAAAGAAAACATTGGAAGTAGAGACAGCTTTTCTGAGCAAGACTCACACGTGGGGATGACGTAATCGCGAAAACGTCGATGTGCGTGATGGTAATGTAGATTTTTTTCTAGGTTCCTTCGCAGAGCCGAATGGACTCTTCTTTTCTATTTAACTCGAAGATCGCTGTCACGTTGCCGCGTGATTTGGCGCGGTGGTCCCGTTCCCTTTTCCGATGCCGACCCACCTTTTCGAAACATTTCAGAACGTCGCTCACATGGCGCAATCAGCTACTTCTTCTGATTTCGTTCTGTTGCTAGTTTGAATGCGGTTATCCTTTTCGCCGTTAGGTCATCACAGAGATCGAGTTAAGGTAGATAAAGGAAAATATATTGAAATTAGCATGCACAACGTCGATATCATCACACTGCACACTCTGCATTATCATAGATTGAGAGAATGGTCATAGATTTCTAGGGCCACCAATTTAATAACATGACGCTCTAAACTACTCTTCACGTTTCCTTTCAAACGGCTCCCAGCAGATCCTGCATGTATAAGCATTCTCACTAGAGACACAAAATGAAAAGAATGAAGAATCTCGCTTATCTTCGGATTTCGTTAGATATACGTGGTTTCCAAGTAACGCTAGATCAGTTAAGAAATGAGCGGTTCACACAGAACCTCCTGTTCCTATTTTACAAACCTTCAGGTAGGAATGACGGCACACGGTATGACGACGAAGAATCAGCTGACCGTTCGCACAAGACTACGCTCATTCAAAGGCCGCGCGGTTTCTTCGTAAGAAAAACTCGATATTGTATAGACGTGCTTGAATGCGATATTTCTACAAATTTTAATTTGTTTTATGTGTATTGCTCCTATCAGCTGAGAGCGCATCGTTGATCGAACACTGCTGTTCAAAGCAGTACATCATAATTATCTGAGTGGTCGATTTGTCATTTCTAGTAACTTTTACTTCTTTGATTTCTCGATATTTTCTTCAGCCTACATAAGTAAGCGTTTACGATTCGTCCGTGAACACTAATGATTCAAAAAGGACTTCTTGTAAGAGGCCAATCAACATCACTATCTCCCGTTCGACGCTGTTTCGTCTCCAAGTCACTAGATGAAAACAGGCTCCGCATGGTCTATGACATTAGTGAAAATCAATACCTTAGCAATACCATGTAATCATTGGTTCCCCTGTAACGACTGCTATTGCTGACGATCTTCTTTCCACGGCATTCGATTCATTCGTCTTTTAAGGTTCAAGTTTATTCTCCTTCTTTTCTATTGATGCAACATCAGACAACGCAAACTTCAAACGGGATAGTAAGTTCCACTATTGTCCCAGGAATAATAACACGGTACCGTAGCCTTGCTTCACACTATCTGTTTGCTTGATCTCGAATTAACCGCGGGCGCCTCCAGCGTTCATATTTTGACCTTTCCTTTACATACACACAAACGCACACTCGTTCGGTAGGAAAACACTTTCAGTGGGTCAATCTGATCGTGACCTGTGCGTGGGACGTTGTCAATGTTCGATCTCTCGCGCCGGTTTCGGGCGCCAGCCTGGACAAGACGGATGGATAGTAATCAGCCAATTGCTGGTTGTTTCATACACGATATCTTCGCTATATTGCGCGTGCCTTGGGCAGTTGGTCGATAACGTGCCGGTGCCAGATTAATAGCGTGGCCACGCCAACAAAGCCCTCAGTTCACATCACACTCGTATCTCAACTTGACGCTCACTTTTTACCGTGTCCGTTTCTCGGCCACAGCAATATTCACAAATGGTAATCGTCGATATTGCCGTGTGTTCCGTTCGCGCAAATCCGCTGCTTGCCAATGCTCCCTTTCACTACAAGTCAGAGCCTGTGCTCGCGGAACGCTCTAGGGGAAAGGGTCGTTTAGGGTCGGGAGAGGGAAAAAGCGCTGGTCATCAGCAAAAAGGAAGGGAAGCAGACAGGCACGCACCCGGCGGCTTTACAGGCGCATCGAGCTAGCAAATCAGCGAACAAAAAAGGAAACGTAACATAGGATTTCATGAAGAGATCGATGTACGAGAAGGAGGCCAGTTATTGGCGTTGTTCGTAGTGCTACCGGCATGGCTGCCGTAGCTGACCCCGCTGCAGTCTGCCTTCCGGCACTCAACTCCTCGCCGCGTCGAACAGACACGCACTGATGCGGGCGTTGAATAGTAATGCTACGAAGAGTGCTTACGCCACAAAGAAGGAAAAGAAACTTTGATGCCGAAAATAAATTGCGAATCATTGATTCAACCAATCGCGCGGCAACGACAGGAGAGACCGAAAAACGGGCGTCAGCTGAATGCTGTTGTACGGTACAGATGTAGCGATGAATGGCTGTATAAAGGGGGGAAGGGGACGGACGACATTTCAATAGTATGCCGTACAAAGATTGAGTATCGGAGGTTCAGGAGGACGTTGGAGGAGTCGCTTCCGGAGTGATACGGTGAAAGCCAGGGTATCGTTGGTAATAGAAGAAGACATTGAAAAACAATTAATTGTGGGTGAAATATATGAAAAGATTTTTTAGGAAGCTTGGCGAAGATGAAAGAATTTCAAGTTCACAACTGTATTGTAAAACATTGCTGCAGACTGCTATTTCGGTCAAGCACATTTGACTACCATGCCATCTTTTTATTTAGGGACAAAGCAATCGATTCATAAACGCTTGCCGTTCAAACTTGCTCAGCAGGAGCGCTAGGCACTTACTTCAATTTTCCGCCATTTTTTATTTGTATCCGTTAATTAATGACATATATATTCGCAAAAAATTGCGTGAGATTGGAAAAAGTGACACTTCGGTCTTTTTCTGCTACTTGAATGCCGTCTGAGAAGCTGCTTTGCAAGCTTCTTAGTTGGTATTTTATCTCCTGAAAAGTTGGTACAAGCTAGTCTGTATCTTAAACTAGCACCGCGCTCTGTTCGTTATTGCAACTTCGTTACCTAGCAATTAGTTCAAACTCTTAAGAATGAATCGCTCTCACATAAGACGAGGTATCTGTTTTTATCGTCTATAAGACGATATCAATTTTTGTATAATAAAACTCTACCTGGGCGTATATGTACACTTCGAGTGAATTCAAGTTACATTTCTTAATTCATCCGTATAGTTTTCAATGACGATCAATGTGACGATCTTTCTCAAACCGTTTCCTTGGCGCTTAAAGGCACCGGCCCAACGTAAATTCAGCTGTAGATCTCTCTACTGCACACTGCCCTAAGCAGCAGCGACGGCGGCACTTAGGCAGTACCAATTCAATTCAGTTGAGTTGCTTACTCTGGGTGGGTTTACCAATTAATCCTAACACGCATAGCACTTGTTAGCTCCGTACTTTCATTTATAATCGTTTTTTGTAATTTTTTTAAAACGCCGAACGCTGGATTAATTCTCTAGTAATAACGTATTAATTCAGAATTTACCACGACCATTGTTGTTATTTGCTGCCATTCTCCACAGAAAAGCAGTGCCAGCCCCATTGATATACGCGCCTAGAGAAGAACAGAGGAGCAGTCAGTAACTAGACAAGTATGTTCCTGAGTGGAGCTGATTTGTCGAGTTACCAACGTAATGGTAGGTAATGTGGACACCTGAATCACCCTATACTCTTCAACTTTAGTAGGTCATAAGCGGCTTTATCGTTAGCTCATAGCGAAATGCTGATGAAGACGCAATCTTTGAAGAACGTGACTAGTAGTAGAAATCCCTCTGGCGGCACAAGAAGGCAGATATATGTCATGGGGCCTTATGATTAGTCCTATGGGGAGCTATTCCAGCGAAGGCGACAAGACGAGAAAGGCCAAGAGTCTGTGCAAATATAAATGGGAGCGAAGGGCATGCTAAGGCTTCAGTGGTGAGGTACCCCGGGGGGCGCGGAGGAAAGTGACCGGAGGAGAGAGCCTAACGAGAAATACGTCGAACCGCCCTTCCGCTATCAGCCCCACAGGTTCGGCGGGCCCTACCGCCTGATTTACTCTGTAGCTTGCGTACAGCTGGATCCCTATATGGGCCGACATGCCGGGATTGCCGTAAACACAGCGACCCGTACCGACTGCCTGGTGGCAACCGACATAAATGGAACTGTTTTCTCCGAAATCGTCCGTAAAGTGAACATACATAGATCGATAGCCTTTGTCGACGATAAACGTCACTCGTATATTTCCTAGAACTATTTATCCGCGACCATTCAGACGCCGATATGGCCACGTTCGGCAAACAGTGAAAATTTTCCTAGGGTGGAGTTTACTTATTTCAGATAGAGTCGATTGCGAAAGGTTTGATTAATACACCTGCAGTTTCCAAAGACGGCTGTGCTAGAGTTTCATTTTGTGATTAGCTGTGAGTATTAGAAGAAGCCAGTTCTTTGGCTGTCCTTTGGTCAGGCCTTTGTAAGACATATTTGATTCCATGTAAAGTTAGCTACGTGCATTTTATGGCGCCTTTGATTTCGAGTGTGGCGCATTCAAGCAGTGTTTATCTTATTGGAATTTTAATAATTTTTTAATTTGAGAACTTTATTTACAGTCTAACGCACGTTGCATTCCTCCGACGACTGAGTTTCCTAAAAACATTGGCAACAAAAATTACGTTGTCTTAGATTGGAAGTGTTCATTTCAGACAGGCCTTACGACAATGGTTTCGTACGTTTTACCATTAGCTAGGACGGATAAACAAGCAAGACCAATAGAATGTTGTATGCTTGCATTTTTATCCACTTGTCCTTGTCCGTTATGTTCTTAATCCTCCGTAAAGGTCTACTAAGTGAGAAATCATAGCACAAGAAAGTTAGTATTAGAAATCAAGTTTGAAGTTCAGGCGCACTTCAATAGACTGTTCATGGAACCCTTTTCCAGAAAAAAATGAACAGCTCTCTCAAAACTAAAAAATAAAACTAGTTGCATCGCCGCTTTTTGCAGACACATTCTCTTACTGGCAGCAACAGCCAAAATTGTTCATTCAATAAAACAAACCGCGAATAACGATGTTTTTTTGAAATCTGCCCTAGGGGCGAAGGTTGATTTGTTCGAGGAAGCCTCCTTTCTTGTGCAGAACTTCTGTTATTCCTTTCTTCTGTTATTTCAGTTTACTTTTTCTTTCCTCTAAGCCAGCGTTCGTTTCAACGGAAGCACGCTGAAGACGCTCGTTCGAAAGACAAAAACATATTAATTCCCGTGTTCTTATTCAACGGCGGCACATGAAGAAGTAAAATCATCCTAGCTCGATCTGTTAAACAAGTGTAGAATGCGTCCTCAGACGACCTGCGTCAGAACTTTATAATCCACGCGAGAAAAGGTCTCGAAAGCTTTCAAGCACTGAACGTACATGTATTATCTTTTGAACGTTATGGACTTCATAGTCTAGCTGTATAAATCCAGCGGAAGTTGTATCTAGCGGCATAGCAGCGATCCGACACAAGTTCATGATATATATATATATATATATATATATATGAAAACTATCTTATTAGTTATATGTGATCCCTAATTTTTAACAATTAGACGGCGAAATAGAGCCGAGTAATTTTAAGCGGATAACAACGGAAGAGCTACCATGATCAAGCACAATGGTAAGTTGTGCATTTGCACTAAGTTTTGTTTGTCATAGATGAGGATAATAACTTTGCCATGCAAAATTCGCATTGTAAATAACTATAAGCGGTCCTATGACGCCATAAGTAGCTGAAGCTTTTTCAAGGGTGTCATTGGTCCGTATGGTTGAGATGAACTCCGAAATTGTTAATGTCGGTAGAGTTAATAGTGGAGGCTAGTTACTAGCTGAATATTAAAAATAAGCTTGTTAGCGATAGTCAAAGCATCTATCCGACTAAGATATATTGCTATCCTCTTATACATTTTGAAAATTTGCTGATTTAATATTGAAGTGTGGTAGTGAATGCTGTTGGCTCATTTGTCATGAGCCTAACAATGAGGTAACTTCAATTTACCTGACGAATCACTGGTGCGTAAGTTCGTTTTCAAGTCAGTTTTACCGTGGCTAGATTTTTGGTTAACAATATACACAACGGCATTGACAAGGTTACAGTATATTCTTCATAAACGTATTTATAAAATATATATGTTTCAAGTAATTTCGTCTAGAGTTGTTTCTATTTAGGGAGCACATAAACGACACAATAATGATTTGATATATATATATACATATATATATATATATATATATATATATATATATAGAGGTTTTCGGTAACTTGGTCGCCTAGGACGCCACTTTCGAGGAATCACATTTATTAACATGATTTCATGGACTGTAATACGTTTCTTGGAAACGCCCGCTTTGATTTAGTAGAGCACCTAAGGATTCTTATGTATGTAATTTAGCATACATAGCCTTTATCTTCAAATCTTCAAACCGACATGACTATGGACGTGTATATTTAAATTAAGTTTATTTTATTTTTAAGTTTAGTTAGTACCATCATTTACAATAGCCACGTATGCAAATGTACAATTATATAGTCTGAGTGTTTTAATTGTTTCAAAAATCAATAAAAACTTAGCTTTCATCGCATAATGCGATGTTATAGCTGAACTATAACAGCTACTGAGTTCAAAGAAGATTTGTTAGCTTCTACTGACGAATTCTCTAAGATTCTGTAGTTTTTTAACCAGGACTTTAGTAAGAAATACTGCTTTAGTCTTAGGAGCATTTTACCCGAGTAAAATATCTTTTTGAGGACTACTTTAGTTTTTTCTTCTAAAAGGTTTTTTTCTTTCACGTTTATACGCCGTTTAAAAACAACTAGACAGAGATACAGAAAGGGTAAAGTCAATATAGAA